TTTAAACCGCCTTTGTTTTTGGAGACTTTAAAATGAAAACCGAATTAGGTCCACTTCAATGTCCACCTATAAGAAAGGAAAAGTTTTTTGTTGTTCCAAGTAGCTTTTTTTGTTATACAAATGAGGATTTTTTTTGGAAATTTTTTCTATATATTTTTAGTTGTCCAGCCAATTTCTTTCTATTTTTAGTAGAGACGGGGTCTCGTTCTTGCTCAGGCTGGTCTTGAACTCTTGAGCTCAAACGATCCTCCCACCTCAGCGTCCCAGAGTGCTAGGATTACAGGCGTGAGCCACCTCTTCTGGCCTAAAATGTGGGCTTTTTGTGTGATTGGAAAATAAATCACTGTGCCGTTTTCATCTGTTCTTATTTTTCATAGTCTATGCCTATATTTTTATGGCGTACAAAAGATTTTTTAATTAAGATTGGATCACATTTTTGTGTGTGTCTAAAAATGAGGAACCAGAGTATTTTCATGATAAAGTTAGTTGTAGGGCCATAGTTCCCTACTTTTTTGTGTATTACACAATCTACTAAATCTTTAGTCTCCAACCCCTGGGCCATGGCCTGGTACGGGTCTGTGACCTGTTAGGAAACAGGCCGCCCATCACTGCCTGACCTCTGCACTATTCTCCCCAACCCATGACACCCCACCTGACCCGGTTGTGGAAAAATTGTCTTCCATGAAACAGGTCCCTGGTGCCAAAAAAATTTGGCGACTGCTGTACTAAATGGTATGTATTAAAACTTACTGAGTTACAGATGTGCTATGATGAATCATATCAGTGTTAAATCCTCAAAATTATTTTTTTTTTGAGATAGAGTCTCACTGTGTTGCCTGGGCTACAGTGCCGTGGTGTCAGCCTAGCTCACAGCAACCTCAAACTCCTGGGCTCAAGCTATCCTTCCTGCCTCAGCCTCCCAAGTAGCTGGGACTACAGGCATACGCCACCATGCCCGGCTAATTTTTTCTATATATGTTTTAGTAGTCCAGCTAATTTCTTTCTATTTTTCCAGTAGAGACGGGGTCTCGCTCTTACTCAGGCTGGTTTCAAACTCCTGAGCTCAAACAATCCGCCCGCCTTGGCCTCCCAGAGAGCTAGGATTACAGGCGTGAGCCACCACGCCCGGCCTCAAAATTATTTTTAACATGATTTCCATAATTTTTTTTTTTTTTTTTTGGAGGCAGTCTCGCTCTGTCACCTGGGCTAGAGTGCTGTGGCGTCAGCCTAGCTCACTGCAACCTCAAACTCCTGGGCTTGAGTGTCCTCCTGCCTCAGCCTCCCAAGTAGCTAGGACTACAGGCGTGCACCACCACTCCCAATTAATTTTTTTGTATTTTTAGTGGAGGCTAATTTTTTTTTCTATTTTTAGTAGAGACAGGGTCTCTCTCTTGTTCAGGCTGTTCTTGAATCCTGACCTCAAGCAGTGCTCCTGCCTCGGCCTCCCGGAGTGCTAGAATTACAGGCATGAGCCACCTCGCTTGGTCTCTGTAATAGCTGTTATTCTTGGATTTGGATTTTAGAGTTTTCTTTTTATGAAATTAACTCTATAGAAAAATGTGAAACATTAAAGTTTTCTAATTTTTAATTTTATCTATTATAGTACTTTGTTGCTGTTTTAAACATTAAAGTATTTTCATGACTTTTACTTTTTTTTTCTATACATTATTGATAAATGAAAACCAGCATGAGACTGCTAATGGATATGAGATTTCTTTTTGGGCTCATGAAATTAATAGTGAGGGTTATACAACTTTGAATATATTAAAAAACATTCAAGGTACATTTTATGAAGGTAAATTTTAAAGGTATGTCAATTTTTTCATCGTAAAGCTGTTACATAAAGATGAGAGTAACTTCCTTGGCATATTTTGAATTTTTAGGTGATTATGTTGACAGAAAATGTGTGTAACACTCCTTGCTATACCTTGTCTTAAGTCATTCAAAGTAATTAGCAGTCTTATCTTTGTTCTCATGAACTTTGCCTCTGTATTGTGTGTTCTTTAGAGAAGATTACTTTGCAAAAAAAAATGAAGAAAGAAAACAAAATAAAGTGGAAGCTAAATTAAGAGCTAAACAGTAAGTATGTTGAAGTAATCGTGACATAATTTGAATTCCTTAAAGCTCTAACAAGGGTGTGGAGTTAGTGGTTCTGGAAGGGCTGATGGTGAGCTTTGAAATGGGTGGCAAAAGGCCTTTTTTCACCTGAAACATTGAGAGCTTAAGCTGCCTTGATAATTTGGGGGCCCCATTGTGTTGCAGTCTAGCATTGACAATCAGAAAACCTAAGGACTGGCTTTGGTTATTTAATATTAGTTTTGTGATTGTGATCAAGGTTAACTTTATTAGGATTTAATTTTCTTATGTAGTAAATGGAAACGTGTAATTAGGATGCTTTTATTTGTAGAGAGCAAGAAGAAAAACAAAAGTTAGAAGAAGATGCTGAAATGGTAAGTATATATTACTGGTATCTAATACATCTATAATTCAAAGTTGTAAGAATACCTTAAAAGTCTGCAGACTTTTTAAAGAAAATTGAGTAGGCAAATCTGTAGTTGTCATTGCCCTAATGTAATACATAAATAATATTGCTCCCAATTATCCATAGATAGTATAATAATCAGATTTATATAGTTTATAACTAATTATATCACTTGTAGAAGAAATTAAGTAAATTACAGTCAGAAGCCATTGTAGAATAAAAGATGACAAAGGAAAACACACTGTTAAAATACTTTAAAGTAGCATTTTGGTTTTTAGGTTTCTCCTTTTATGGGTATAGAGTAGTGTGAGGCCATTTCTGATTTGTGGTTGCTTTCAAGAAACTTTTTGATTGCCTTATATATTCTTATAGAAATCTCTAGAAGAAAAGATTGGATGCTTGCTGAAATTTTCGGGTGACTTAGATGATCAGACTTGTAGAGAAGATTTGCACGTCCTTTTCTCAAGTCATGGTGAAATAAAATG